TAATAATTTATTAATATTTAATAATTGAAATAATAAATAACAATGTAACAATAATGATATATTCAATATATTCTTTATTTGATTTGTTCAATATTAGATTATTCTATTTCATTATCATTTCATTGTCTTCATTATTTTATTTCATTATTTCATATTCATTTATTATTTTTTAAAATCAAATAAACAATAATATTGATATTCATTCATCATATTAATTTAATATAATAAATATACACAACATTTCAGAATAAATATTGAATATTTAACATTTAAAATATTGATTTATTCAATATTTTATTCAACATAAAATCAATAAAACATATATTTTGATAATATATAAATGAAATATTAATGAAATATACAATACTCAAGAACTAATAAAAAAGAAATAAAAAGAAAGAATGAATATAAAATTGATAAATAATAGAAGAAAGAAATAGAAAAACAACGAAAAACAAATAATATAAAAAGAATATAAATATATAAAAGAATAAAAAGAAAGTATAAGAAGAATATAAAAATAATAAATCACAAAGATGTAATAAAAGAAGAAATAAATATGTATTTTTAATGTAAAAATTAGAAATATTCAATAAAAGTGTCTAATTTAATGATGTAAAATAATTAATATTATTTTATTGATGAAAATATTTTATTCATTTTTATGTTTATTATTTATATGTATAACTTCATTATGATGTTTAATATATATTCAATAATATGTGTTATGTTATTATTATAACATATAAGTTTAATAAAATATAAATGAAAATGATATGAATATATGATATATATTGAATATAGAAAAGAATTAATAAGAATAAATGATAAATAAAATGAGAAATGATAATCAATGATATAATAATAAAATCAAAGTATAAAAGATAAATTTAATATTAATATAAAACAAAAGAGAATAAATATAAAATGAAAATAGATATAAAATGAAAATAGATATAAATGATAATAATATAAAAATGATAAAGATGAATAAACAAATAATAAAATACATTTAAATATAAAAGAATAACAATAAGAAAATCTAAATAATATAAACATAAAAATAATAAAATAAGAATAATATAATAATATATAGATAATAAGAAGAATACAATGATATAAATAATATAAACAGAGAAATAAATATAAAAATAAATATATAAAAATACGATAGATAAATAAATAAAAGAATAAAAAGAATAAAAATACAAATAATTAAATATGATTCATCAAATCATCTATTTCATTAATATTTCATACAAAATGAATACAAATGATCATAAAATATAAACATAAATATATACAGATTGTATTTTTATCATATTTTTTATTTTTTTTAGGAGCAAAATATAATAAAGTGAAATATTCTAATGATGCAAATTATTTTGCATCTTTTTTTCATTTTTGTAAATTATTTAGATGCATTATTTCTTTGTTTATTTTTGTGCCTATTTTGATTATATCAGCTGAATCAATCATTTTTAATTCATTATTTATTACTATTGTTCATCAATTATCATTATTATTACATTTACTGTGACTAGTTAATGCTGTTGATGTAAATGAATTAATGAAATATTAAACAGATTTGATAACAAAATAATTACAATTCAAAATGCCAATTAGAGTTAAACTTAATTGTTTATTTGTATAATTAATTGAATATTTATTTCATTGTTTCTATTGATATATACTGTTTTTATTGAGGAACTGTATTTAAATTATGAGTTATCATTATTTTCTCTGTTATATGTAATTTCAAACTTATTAAACTATATCTTTTTTCTCTGTTTAAGATAAAATTGTTGTTAATTTAATATTATCTTCAACATTAATCTGTTTAGTATACACAAAGTTATTTAATGTAATATCATATTCAATATGAAGAGTTGTATATTTAATATCATTATTAAAATTCACTGATTTTACACTTGGTTGAATATTAAAAATACATTCAGTTTCATCATTATCATCATATTGAAAATGTGAATAATTAAATTGATGAGTAACACCTAACAAATATGATATTTTGTAATTATTGATATTCATTGTACAAGTAACATTTGTATCTAAATCAGTTGTATTTGGACAAAATCTCATTATTCTATTGTTTGATATTAAATATTGTTTAACTTCTTGAATATCAATTCTATTCTGAAAATATTATTGTAAATAATGTTTATTTTATATATTATCAAATTCAAGTGCATTATTATTAAATGACATTATATCAAAACATTGATTATTATTAGTTTGATTCTTAATTACAAATTTGTTTGCATATCCTCAAATTTGTTTATAAAGATGAACCCAATCACTTTCAAAATATGCATTTGATGTTATTTTAATGATGGAGTTGTTTCAAATGTAATTAGTCGTTCAAATGAGACATTACCATTCCAATTTATTTTAGAATTTTTTCCAATGTTAAATTCTTCTCTTGTATGAAATTTACCATTTAATGTAATTTGAGAATGTTGTTTAATATAAAAAGTCTTTGCATTCCAAAAATCCTTTAAACTTGTCATTGTAAAAGTACCACTAAAATATGTATTTTTGCATTCCATAGCGTTAGTTGAAGAATAAGTGAAGTCATCCGTAAAATAATATGAACATTCATTATTAGTTGTTTTGCATAGTGTAAAAAAGTTATCATTAAATCCACCATCAAATTTATTTCCTGATGGAATACAATCATAGGATTTAGCATGAATACAGATAGACAATAATATAATATAAAATATTAACATCAATGAATATGAAGAATAACAATATTAGATTATTTGTGATATTTATTGTTTCTTTCTTTTTTATTATTTTGATTTTTTTAATTTTTTGTTATTTTATACTATAAATAGATTATTAAAATATAATAATTTATTAGTTGTTTTTATTATTAATTAGTAATTTCATACAACAAAAAAATGAAAAACACGAATTTTTGATTTTATAGTAAATGTTATTCTCAATAACTCATTATTTTATTTATTGAATGTGTTATTGTCTTTTTATGTATTTATTTACTCACTCTTAAATTATCCATTAACAAAATGCAACACACATTATTTGATAATAAAGAATTGATGGTTTTTCATTTTGAGATGAAATGAAATTATGAAAAACAACAGAATCATTAATATTTATTTCAATGTAAAGTAAATAATTAATTGAATAAATAAAACACTTTAGTACAAATTAGATTAAATGAATAAAGAAATAGTGAACAGCAAGAGCATGAAATATTGGATAATGAAAATGATAACTCTTTCACGAATGTCTATTCATGTAGAATGTGACAACTAAACAATATTATAAGAAATAAAAACGTGAGTTTGAGACTAACAATGGAAGATATTGTATGTGTATAACTTCAATGGAATGTGTCAATGTTACATTGATAGAATATTCATAATTTAATGATATTATTCAATGTTATTTAATTTAGTGATGATAGAATATCATCAATAAAACATTCAAAGAATTGGTTATTTGAATAAGTTTCATATTTTTTACATAAAGATTCAAGTAGATAAAATAGATAAATGTAGTGAATGACAAATGAATTTGTTTGATGGAATAAATACATTTATGATAATAATGAAACAAAGAAACAGTTAAGTTGAATAAAAGTATATTCAAATAATGAATAACCCTTTTTAATAATGAAATAATATAAAAGTAATATTCCAATGAACATAAACAACCAAATAAATATGTTAAAGAATTATTTAAATAATCGTTGATCAAATTGAATAATTATAACTCTTATATATAGATTATACATAAATTAATGATAATAAATATACTGGAAGAATAAATTTTGTCATAATAGAGTATGAAGAGAAGTTATTAACGTCTTGATATAATGAAGAGTATGTGTCTTTCCTTTTTAAATAAAAAATAATTAATAAATAAATGAATATTGTTATACAAAAAAATAAGTTGAATTAAAATAAGTGAAAAAGAACAAATGGATGTTGATATATTGGAATATTTATTGAAAAAAAAGAATTAAATTATTGAAAATTCATACAATTGAAAATCAATTGATAACGAATTACAAAGAAAATTTAAAATAAATGAATATTTCTTTTGAAAATTCTATTGAAAAAAAAATGTAATTAAAATAAGAATATATTATCATAAGAAAATAAATTGAAGTTTATAACATATAAATACTTTGAAAGAAATTTCAATAAAACAAAAGAGAAAATATTAAAAGAAAAAGGAATAGAGATAGGAAATGAAAGTTTTAAATAAAAAAAAGATAATTGAAAATTCAAATAGGTGTAGAATAATTAAGTTTATTCTTTCATTCTCTTATTGAAATACTCAAAGAAAAACTATATATCAAATGGATATTCAATTAATTGAGAAGAAACCTCTTAGAATTTTGAATATTAAACATACACATAATAAGAGTCAAAAATATAAAAAAACTAAGAATTATCAAGTATATCAACAATCTATATTCTTATTAATTCTAAGTAAATATGGAGACATTTATTTTGATAAACCAATAAAAAGAAGTACTACAACCTCTCAATTTTTAAATGTAAAAGAAATAAGATTTTCAAAAGAAGATATAATTCCAGTCAATTCATTTATTGAAAAAAGATGTGAAAAGAGAATGAAACAAGAAATAGAAAGTGGTCTTTCACATGAAACTGCATTAAGAAGATATGAAACTAATAAATTTATAGAATCCCTTCATTTTTTGATTGATTTATTAACAGAATTACATTTTACATTAAATTGTAAATTGTTTTTATCAAAGAATGGATTAGAACAAAAAGAAACCATAAATGAAATAAGATATAACTCTGAAATTATATTTAATAAAAATGACATTCAAATGATTGGTGAAAAAGTCAACTCATATCTTTCAAAAATGATCAGAGATAATAAGAGATTTATATTATTATCAAATAATGAAGAAATATCTAAACTAACTTCTTTTCAAAAACCTTAGTACTAATTTTAATTGTATTTTTCAAGTTTTTTTTTTCTATCTAATTTGAAAATTAAAACCACAAAACTCTAAATGAAAAGAAGTGATGAGTTTATCAAATGAACGACATCGATATAATTGCATTATAGAGAAAGAACGATTAATAATTAAATATTTTAAAACTGAAATGGAAAATATAAAAGCAGGAACTAACTATCTTGACACTATTACAATATTTTCTAAACTTCATAGTAAAGGTCAAATACCACCTATTCCTTCACATTATCCTACTCACTCTCCTTTAATTAGAAATCCTATTTTACAAAAAATTGTAGAAGAAGAACTTCTTTTAGAAAACCCAAATAAATCATTAAAACCAATTAGAAAACCAATTACAATGGAAGAATTAAAAAAAAGACAACAACTTGAACCATTAAGTTATTATCAAATAATTAAATTAATTAATACTTGTAGAGAAGTATTTCAATGGATTAAAAAATCAGATAGATATATTGTTCGAGTTGAATATGAAGATTTATTAAATTGTGTATTAGCTAAAACACAAAAAACATTATCAATCACATCAAAATTTCGTAATTCAGTAAAAAGTACTATGAAAACGTATTTTAAAACAATAAAAATAAAAGAAAAAATGTATTGGTTATTAGGTCATTCATTTACTAAATATGGCGAGATATATTATTGTAAAGAAAGTGATGAGTAAATAACATGATAAAATCTTTTTTTAAGTAAAAAGCAATAAAATAAATTGTCCAAGTTTTTTTTTATATAATATTTTTGTTTCTTTTTATTTTTTATTTTTTCTTTTTATTTTTTCTTTTTATTTTTTCTTTTTATTTTTTCTTTCTTTCTCTCTTTTTCCTTTCAAAAAGACAGAAAAAGAACTCATTATGTTTAATTGAAATAGTAAATTAATGAATATATCAGAGGACGAAAATGGGGAAATGACTTGGATTAAATGGTTTTGTTCATTGGAGTTTGAATAAATTTTAATTGTTTTATATTCATTAAAAACAAAAATGAAAGAATAAAAAAGTAATTAATTTTTAGAGAAAATGAATTTATGTGTGAAGTAGATGAGTCATTTATCGACAATGACTTTAATTTATATGGACTAGAAAATAGTGTTCCACATTTTCAACTTGCAATTGAAACAATTTTACAATTAGAATATTCACAAGAAATAAAACCAGATATCCAACAAGAAATTGATGAAGAATCAAAAAAATTATATGGTTTAATTCATGCTCGATATATTGTTACTTCAGCTGGACAACAAAAAATGTTAAGAAAATATGAACAATCTGCTTTTGGATGTTGTCCTTGTATGAAATGTAATGTTTGTTTAATTCTCTTTTATTAAAATAAAAATGAATGAATCTCATGAATTAATTACTTAGAGATATCCTCTTCTTCCTTTAGGATTATATGATAATCCAGGTATGGAACCTGTAAGATTGTATTGTCCTTGTTGTAATGATATTTATATAGTCCCACAACAATTCGCTTCAAGAAAATTAGATGGTGCATTTTTTGGAACTACTTTTGCTCATCTTTTATTATTACAACTTGATGAACATCCTAAAAATGCATTTCATTATATTCCTCGTGTGTATGGTTTTAAATTAGCTTCTAGTGATTATGAACGACCGACTGATTACCCAAATTTTACGGGTTTAAGACAATTTTGTCATTTGTGACTTTTTATTCATTAAAAACTTATCTCATATTTACGTTTTATATAACAAAAAAAAATAATAAAATAAAAAAAATCTAAAAATAACTTAAAAATAATAACAGACTTAAAAAAATGAATAATTTTTGAAGAAACTTAAAAAGAGAACTTTAAAAAGAAGTAATGGTTAGTAAACTTGAACTATCAACAACTATAGCAGCAGCTGTTTATGTTTTAATAGGATTTTTTTTAATCGTTGCATCAATTGTATTTACAAAAGATATTAATGCATTTGCTAGATCAGCTGAAGGAAAAGATGGTGATTTAACTTTATATTTTACAAAAGCATCGTGTGTATATCTTATTGTTGCTGGTGCAATTTGTATGTTAAGTGGTTCATTAGGAATGGTTGGTGCTCTTTTAGAAAAACAATGGAGTATGATGCTTTATTTTATGACATTAATAGTATCGTTAATAACATGGTTTGTATTAGAAGGTGTTTTTGGAATGATTACATTTGGTTTAACTGCTGCTTCAGAAGCAACTATGTCATCAACTATTGCAACTTGGGAATTAAGATTCCATTGTTGTGGATGGAAAACTCTTCCAGCTGATGCTTCAAAATGTGCTTATCCTGCAGCATTTTCACAAGGACATACTTGTATTCAAGAATTTAATTCTATTTGGAATTTGTCTATTGCTGGATTTGCTGTGGTAGCTGCATTTTCTATTTTTGCTATTGTTCAAATGGTTCTTGCTTGTACTCTTTATCGTTATTTAGATAACCTCTTCAGATACTCATATTTGAATAATCAACATGGAGATAACAAAGATGAATAATAATTACTCAGTGTTCTTCTTTCTTTCCTTTCTTATTTTCTTATTCATTGAATCTTCTCTTTCGAACAGTTTTTTTTTTTTTTTTAAATATCATTTAATCTTTAGTTTTGAAAAGACACTAATATTTAATACAATTGTTGAAAAAAATAAAAATAAAATAAATTTTATGTCTCAACAAAATATTCATTCTTGTTGGTTAATACATCTCAAACAAAACTCTGATTTGGAAGAAGTTAAAAAACAAATTCCTCAATTTATTTTATTTACTACACCAAAAAATTGTCGTGAAGTAACTCAAGATGAATTTTCAATTTATGGAAAAGATATTCCTATTTATCATATGTATACATTTGAAGATCCATATATTATTTCTCATTTAAATATTGCTCAAGAATATATAACAATCATGTATTTTAAAAATGGTAAATGCCTTGTTCAAGGAGAAAGTTTTGTAGAATTTAATAATAAAATGAAAAAGGCAATAAAAACCAATAATTTTAGTGAAGGATTAGATAAGACTCAATGGTTAAAAACAAACACTGAAAGTTATATGAAAAAATTATATCATACAGTAAATAAAATTAAATTAAGAAATGAAGAAATAATAGATGATAGAATTATAGATTGGATGGATGGGTTATAAACAATAATTCAATCATGTTTTTATTTTAGTTAGAAATGAAATAATGAATCATATAATAATGAAAATTGTGTTTTAGGAATTGTTTCTACATCTTCTTTTCTTGTTTCTTCTTCATTTAATAACCATTTTATTCTTTCTTTTTCAAGTTCTCCTTTAAATTTTATACTATTTAATATTACACTTCCAATTCCTCTAAATAATTCCCAACCATATCCCCATTCAGTAATTTCATTTAATAATTTCATAAAAATAAGTTTAATTGTATTTGAATATCCATTGATTAATTCCCCAATAATTCCTATAAACATTCGTTTTCCTTTAATAATTTTTCTTTGAATAAAATATTTGATAATTGAAAGAAGTTCACTGATTTCTTTTGATTGAATTAATTGAAGAAGAGCTGATAATAATGCTTCTTCAACAATTTCATCACGTGAATGACAATACATTATTAATTTATCTAAATATTCAGGCATATCCTTACATATTATAATAATTGTTTTACTTAATACAATTGGATCAAGTAAAATATCATTTTTCATCATATCAATTACTCCATTAATAATAATAAATTTAATTCTTTTTGATAATCTAGGTTTATGAAGTTCTTCACTAAGTACACGAGGAAGTATTGAATCAACATAAAAATCGAAATGAAATTGAAAAATTTCAGTAATTTCATTTGAAGCAACAGATTGATAATGAAATGAACCATGTTGTATTGAATTACAATTTTTTAATTTTAATTCAACCTTTTCTATTCCATATTCATTAATACAATGAATGAGTGTTTCTAATAAACTTGAATGAATCATTTGATTTGTATCATTCCAAAATTGTTCAATAATCATTGGAAGTAATTCAATTAAATCATCCATAAAATGATGTAACATAATAAATAATGCAATAACAACAGTATTTCTAGATGCTAATAAAGGAATAATATATTGTTCTTCTAAAGTAGATTTATAAGGTTCAATAAATTGATTAGAAGAAAGAAGAGTATTTATAATTATTACTGATTTTTCAGTTTCATTCATTAAAGGTAATTGTACATAACTTGGATGAATAAAATATTGAATTGAATATTCAAAACTCCATCCAAGTGTTTCACTCATTTGATAATTAAAATTAACATTTGATAAATAATTTATAATAATAGTTATTGATTCTTTTGGTAATAATCTAACACAACATTGTACAATTATTCCAATATTTGAATATTCATGATAAATATAACTTGATTTCTTTAATAATTGTTCAAATATTTCAGATGTTTTAATTCTTGTTTTAAATAATAATTGTGGACAATAAATCATCATATCAATTAATCCCATATTACATTGTTCTAATTGATTTAATATATATAATTCATTTAATTCAATTGGTATTGTTTGATTATTTTCAAATACACGTGCAGCACAATGAAGTATAAATTGATTTGATGTTATTGTAATTTTATTAACATTACAAAATTGTTGAGGAGTAATATGATGGAGAAGAAGAGTAGATAATAGAGAAATTAAAGGAGCATCAATTAAATAATTTAATTTCATAAAGAGTGTTTCAGGGATATTTGATATCATTTTAAGAAGTTCAATACATATTGGTTGAATAAAAGAATCATTATAAGAAGTAATAATAAAATGAAATAATAAACGAATTTGATCAGATGAAAATGAAATAAATTTATTATTTAAAATTATTATTGCATTATCATGAGTAATTGTATTCATTGATAAATGTAATAATACTTCTAATGATGTTTGTTCAATTATTTCTTGATGATTTAATAAATGTAATAATTTATTTGAAGATGTTGATAATAATAAATAATATTCTTTACATTTAATATTCATTTTCATTAATAAAGATAATATTGTACATTGTAATTTTGTTGATGTTGAATAAAATAATAAATCTTTTAAAATATTTTGTGAATTTTCAGGAAATACTGATGGATTAAAATAATATAATAATTTAGTAATTTGTTTTTTAAATTGAAATGTTGTTTTAGGAAGTATAATTAATTGAAATAACATTGTTGAAGCATTTGGTATTTGTACAAGAAGAGAAGAACATAATTTAATAAAATTATGATAAAATAAACTTTTAGTTAAATGTTTAGTAATAACAGAATTAATAATATAAAATATATAATCTGCTAATACTTGAAGTTGTTGATCATTTGAAAATCCTTGAAAGAAAGAAATAATATCATTTTGAATAGAAATATAATTTTTATTTTCTTTTTGTAAAAGAAGAAGTTGTTGTTGAATAAAATGATGAAGGTCCATTAACTAAAAGAGACAATAACTTTCTTAAAAAATAATGAATGACTTTCTTTGAGTAATTTATGTGATTTTAATGGTTATTTTTTTTGTAATAAAAGCAATTCATTAAGTGATAATAGAGTTAATTTCAATACTTTCATCTTCAAGAGAGATTAATAATCCATTTCCTTCTTCTGTTTTTTATTTTTTATATAAAAAAAAAAATAAAATAAAAAAAGGGTTAAAACTCAAATATTAATAAAACATGTTTCCATATTGGACAAGTATTATTGGTTTGTTTTTCTTCTTTTTTTTTTTTACAAAAGAAATAGAGAAAAAACAAAAATAAAGAATAATAAGAATAATAATAAAATAGTGTTAACAATATTAACTACATTATTTGAATTATATAAACATTATAGACAACATAAATTATATTATATAAAAGAAATACCAACAGATGTTAAAGAAGTATATGGTGATAGTATTGAACAAAAAGAATTTGAGAAATCACAAAATTATCATTTAGAATTAAGTAAAGTATCATTTATAAGATTAACAATATCATTTATAATAAATATGTATGTATTATGTTCACCAATTTTAAGAATTATTTGGGATTTTTCAACGATATATAATCAATTTTTAACGAGTATAATATTTATAATAATATTTGATTTTATTTCTACAATAATTTCAATTCCATTTAAATTATATACTACATTTATTATACGTGAAAAATATGGAATGAATAATATGTCACTTATTGTATTTATTAAAGACTTTATTAAATCTTTTATTTTAGAAACAATATTAAATTTAATAATAATAACTTTACTTTATTTCGTCTCTGAAACACAAAATTTAGCTTTGTATTTATGGTTTGGAATAATGACTTTAAATATTATTATTTCTTTAATATTCGTTCCTTTTGTTATTCCTTTGTTTTATAAAAAAACTCCTTTACAAGAAGATCAATATAAAAATGAAATTGAATCAAAATTAAATGAAGTAAATTTCCCATTAAAATCTGTTTCTGTTATTGATGCTTCTTCTAAAGCAAAAGAAGGAAATGCATTCTTTTCAGGATTATTTGGAAAAAGAGATCTTGTGTTATTTGATACTTTAATAACAACATGTTCTTCAGATGAATTAGTTGATATTGTATTACATGAAGTTGGACATTGTAAACATTACCATATATTTAAATTATTAGGAATTCAATCAATTCAATTCTTTATTATTTTTAAATTTATTGAATTCTTCTTATTAGATGAAGCACTTTATACTCAATTTGGATTTGATCAAAAAGTTGTTGTTGTTGGATTTATTTTATTACAAAGTTTACTTGAACCTTTTATGGAAATTGTTTCTTTAGGAATTAATTTTATTTCTAGAAATTTTGAATATCAAGCTGATGTATATGCTACTAAACATGGTAATCATCAATTAGCAAGTGCTTTAATTAAATTACAAAAGAATAATTTATCAGCATATGTTGTAGATCCATTTGTCTCTACAATTGAAAACTCTCACCCAAATCTTGTAGAACGAATACAAGCAATTAATAAAATCATAAAAGATATGAAAAGTGATTAAATTAAATCATTTTTCTTTTTCTCTTTCTTTTCGTTTCAAATGAACTTTAAATTATAAAATGTTAAAAAAATATTCTGACATGTATTTTAATCAAGAATTTATTTGTTTTAATCAAGAATTCATTTGTTCAGTGTATTTAGGAAGAAAATGTATTCTCATTTTTAAGGATAAAACTTCTCCTCTCCAAAATCCTCCTTTTAAAGCAATAGAAATTGACAAAATTAAAAAAAAAGAATTTATTGAAAAAAGTTTGTGTTAAATTTTATTCTTTGTTAGTTAATTGAATTTAATATTCATTAAATAGAAGATAAAAGTATTTGTGAACTTAGACTTACTGTTAAAAATTCAAATTCATATTTATTTGATAAATATATTTTATCAGGAGATCAAAATCAAATTAATAATCTTCAAAGTCAAATAGACACTTTAAGTCAAGGAGAAATAAAAATATTTTCTTCATCTCAATTAAAATTACTTTAATTCCTTTTTATTTTTTTTTTTTTCATTATTTCTGGTTTTATTCTTTTAACAAAAAACATAAATTCCATATTAAATGTTATTTAATTGTCAATTCTTAGTATTTTTTTTTTGTTTTTGTTATACCAATTGATGATTTATGTTTTATCTTTTGTGAATGTGTATTTTCTTTCACTTCTTTTTTTTTTTTTTATTCTCTAATTCCATTTTTAATTCTTTTTCTTTATTTCTTTTAAATTCTTTTTAGAGATTCGAAGATGGCACGTCAGAGACACCACATGAAACCCTAAAATAATCCCATGCTTCGAATCTCCCAGTTATCGTCTGGTCATGACGTGCCTTTGGTGAGATAATATCTATTCAACACTAACTGTTTATTATTATTAATATTTATTAGAAGTGATTATTATAAAAGATTATTATTCATTAACGTGTATTGTTATTCATTATTAATTATAAGGATTATTATTTACTAAGGAGGTATTATGTATTAAGAATTATCATTTATTAAAGAAGACGCATATATAATTGATATTGTTGCACAAAAATTAAACATAAGGATATTATCAAGGAATAGGGTTTCTTTAAGGGGTGTCGAAGGTAAAAGGAGATGAGCTATAACAGTATGTTATGGATATACTCTCCTTAAAACAACAATATAAAGAATGAGAAATATTATATTACTCATTAAAATCAAAATAAAAGTCAGGCAGCAACTTAATTGAGGAACCATTTAAGTCGAGCATGCTTGCAAAAACTTTATTTAATAGAAATAAAGCGTGTTGAAGAAACTGATTCGCTCACTTCTCAACATGATGAAAACCTAAAAAATAAGGTTAATCATAATTGATTCCTTTTTTTTTTTTTTTTTTCTTTTAAATTCTTTTTTAATCCTTTTCTAATGCAGGAAATACAACAAATTTTAATGCCATGGCTATTGTGTAAAACCTTAGGGTCTTGTAAAGAAAAGCAAACAAGACATAGAAATCTAAGGTCATACAACAAAAAAAGAAATGTCAATAGCAATAAATGGCATAACAATTATAACAATAAAGGTAAACGATACACCAAGGAAAAAGGGTTTAGAAGACAAAAGACACAAAGAAAAACAAATAAAAAACAAGGTAAATACAATAACAATAAAGATTATACAAATAACAAATACAAATGGCTAACAATAAATGATATACAAGAAAGAATAAAAAGAATAACAAGTGAATGGAATGAAGGAGAATACGAAGAAATACTAAAAAAATATGAAGGTAAAAGAAAAAGATGGTATGATATTCTTCAAGAAGTATATTCAATTAAAAAGAAAAAGATAATTGAAAAGACGAAAGAAGAGTTTAAAGAAAAAACAAAAGATTGGGAAGAAAAAGACATTAAGGCTATAGAAGCAGAAATTAAAAACAAAAACCCAATTAAAGAAATGAATGATAGATGTAAAATTGCAAGAATAATAAATGAAACAGAAAGTATAATGAAAATACAAGAAGAAACAAAAAATAAAGAAGAAAAGATAGAAGAAGAAAAAGAAAAAGAAGAAATACTTGCACTTAAAAATCAAATTACTGAATTAAAAGAAGAAATTAAAGAATATCAAGCAAAAAGAAAGGAAGAAGAACAAGCTATCTCAGAAGAAATGAAGGAAAAAGCAAAAGAAATAGTTAAAAAAGAATTTGAAGAAGAAATTACAGAAATGAAAACACAAAATAGAAAGATTCAAACGAATTATGAAGAAATAAAGAAAGAAAATGAAAAATTAGAAGAAGAAAACTTAAAACTACAAGGAAAAATAAACGAGATAGAAGGAAAGAAAATCACAGAAGTAAATAATAAAGAAGAAAAAATCCGAAGCATCCAAGCTAATAAAAAGAAGATGGAAAAAGAAAATGAAGGAATGAAAGAAGAAATTGAAAAGTTGAAAAAGAGAAACAAAATGCTAGAACAAAATGCAAACACATTAGAGAAGAAAATTGAAATGATAGAGGAAAATACTAAAGAATTAAAGAAGGAAATAAGAGATAAAGAAAAACAAATCTCTGAGTATCAAGAAATTGCAATTAAAAACCAAGAAATTGCAGAAACAACAAGAGAAGAATTAGACAACACACAAAAAGAAAATGAGACACAAAAACAAATAATATCAAAACAACAAGATGATATTGAAAATTTTATCTCACAGAAGGAACTAGAGAAGAAGAAAACGATGACACTTGTGATAAATACACAACCAGTATTGAGGAAAACATCATCAGGAACAATGGAGATGAACGAAACTACTCCTATGAAAAAGACAGTAGTGGAAATCGAAGAGAAAAGCACTGATTGTCAAAAAACAAGAGATGATAGTCAGACAAGAAATACAACAGAACAAACAAATAGAATTCTAATTGAAGTGTTGTATTGTTTTGCAATTAATTGGTTAAACAAGAAATTATATAAGAAATTAAGATGGGAACAAATTGAAAGTATAATAAAAGTGACAAACATCAATGTCAATAAAGAAAATGAATATATTAAATATATTAAAATGTCACATAAAATAAAAGAAAACATTAAACGATACATTAAATTGAAAGTAAATGATATAATAAAAGAGTAGAGTGTGATTCAACAATAAAAAACATCATATTAAAGAATAACTCTACAGAAATTGATGAAGAATATCTTAACACTCTCATCAATAAAGTGAAAGAAATGAAAATAGAAAAATGTACAAACATTAATTACTACTGGAAAAGAAAAGAAACTGACCAATTAATAATGGAAATTAATAATAGATGGGTATGGTCAGGAAGCAGAATGCAGGATCTGCAAGATGATATGAAAAGGATTTCAATGGTTATGCACCTCTATCTCCAAAATAAAATAATAAGAGATAAATTTGATGAAATAAAAGAAATCCTAAAGAAAATTAATAGACTAGAAGATCTAGTCAATAAAATTGTACAGAATAAAGTGCATCATGAAATTAAATGAACATGATGAAGAAGGAATAAAAGTTAAAGCACTAGAAAGAATAAAGTACCTAAAATATATGATGACTATGATCAAAGAAAGAATTAAATTTAATAAAGAAGAAAGGGTCAGAATCAATACAAATAAAATCATGTTTGATTCTAACAAGAAAATTAGAATAAGGAAGAAAGACCCAAAAAATGAAATATACCCAAATAACGATATTACTTTAGAATATTGGAAATCGTTATATGAAACACAGGTGATATTAAATAAAGAAAATTGGAAAATAAAACAAATCACCTCGTGGAATGAAAGATATATCAATTATGATAGTGTCATAATAACAATAAATGAAATAAATTTAAGTATAATGAAAATTAATAACTGGAAAGCACCAGGAATAGACACTATATATGGGTATTATTGGAAAAGAATGTCATCATCATGAGAAATCATTCTCAATATCTTTAATGAATGGTTGAACTTCAATCAAAACATCCCATTAGACATGGTAAGTGGAAGAACTTTATTAATCCACAAAGTGATAGGAACGACGTCATTAATTATCGTCATATCAGTTGTACAAATGTAATTATGAAAGTATTTACCTCAATATTAAAAGAAAAGATTCACAGAAGACTTAACATGAATAATGAATCATTTAGAATCAGTAGCAACCAATTGGGATGTAAGTTGCAATCTTTAGCTGCTAAAGAATGAATAATTAATAGTTATATGATGAAGCATCAGAAAGAAGAGAAATACCCAAAATATGTGGAGTCATATTATGACATCAAGAAATCATATGACACAGTAAACCACGAATGGGTAATTGAATCATTAAAATATTTTAATTATGAGTGTGTCATCATTGACATTATTGAAAGTATGATGACTAGATGGAAGATATTCATAGGCTATAAATATAATGAATATCTAGGTAATATTAAATTAAATAGAGGAATTTTACAAGATGATTCCTTATCAAATCTACTCTTCATTATTCAGATGAATGTAATTTCTCAAATCATCGAAGAGAAATTCCCAAAATCAAATCACACTTTATATATGGATGATTTGAGAATAATGACAGAAAGTAGAGAAGAAATGGGAATAATCCACAATGAAATTAAAGAAATAATAAGTGGAATAGGGATGGAAATGAATGAGAAAAAGTCAGGAATGGTATTAAAAAACATTAAAGAAATACTAAATGGAATGCAAAACATCCCCCTAATTGAAGGTGAGGACTTGTATAAATACTTAGGAATATGGCAGTCCGACGAAATTGATGACACCTTCAATTGTAAAATCATCAAAGAAAAAATGATGAAGAAGATGGAAGAAATAAACACTGATGATAGCAGTAATAGAAGATATATTACTAGAATAAACACTGAAGTAATCCCTATCTTCAGATATTCAGCATCAGTTGTAAATTGGAAAATCACTGACCTAGATAAAATTGATTTGGAGATAAGAAAATACTTAAGAAAGGCAAAATACATTGGTGCCGGAAACTCCAAAGATAGGTTATATGTCATTATAGAAGAAATGGGTGAAGGATTAATAAATATAAGGGACGAATATGTTATTGAAATAGTAAGAACAGTAATGTACTACTGTACCAGAGAAAGTGAGATAGGAAATAACATATTAGATAGATGGTACAGTAAGAAATGAATATGGAATAGAATTAAAAAACAATAATTCATAAAATAAATGAAACAAAAATAGAAGAAATAATAAATGAATTTATAGAAAAGAAAAAAGAAAAAAGAAGTAGTAGTAGAAATAAAAAAATTATTGACAAATACATCAAAAAATGGAAGTCCCATCAAATTAGTGGATATTTTAGAAGATGGTTCGAGTCAAAATGAGTAGATAAAACTACTACAGTGAAAGCATGGAATTCCATCAATATTAAAAAGAATGCATTTCTACAATTAACTAAAATGCAAGATGGAGCAATATTTTGTGGGTATAAAAAAGCAAAAATAATGAAAAATGAAAGATTGAAATACTGCCCACTTTGTAAA